ACCGCGCCCCTGGCACGTGTGTTGCCGCTCGCACGCCGCTTGCATTTCGAGATCCTCCCCTTTTCGGTGTCCTCCTGGTAAATTTGCCGATCGATTGTTGCTTATTCTCTCCTTTGCGTCATTGGCTCACTGGATGTCCTTGCGGCTGATCAGATCATTGCATTTACCTATGCTATTCTTGCTTCCGTGCTGGCTTGCAGCTCAAACGGAGGCCGCCTCGCCCAAGTCGGTCATCTCATGTTCTGCCGCACAAGCGCCACAACCCACCGTGCCCACAAGTCTGTGCATCGTCAATAAGCAGGAGGAGGCGGATCGCCGTTTCGTTGTGCTCCATCCCCATTCCCCACCAGGGGTGGCTGGAGGACCTGGCTTCAGCCACGCGCAGAGGGGTGTGGGGCGAGGGGGGAGGGCTTCTTAAAAGCACCCCTGCTTCTTAGAAGGCGCGCAGGCCGGCCGCTTCTAAGAAGCAGGCTGCTTCTAAGAAGCCCTCCTCCCTCCCCCCACCCCCTTTGTGCGCGTCGCCAACAGCTACTCCGCCCCCCTGGGGGGGGGTCCTCCTCGCCCTGCGTGGTCTCCGCTCGCGCCTACTTCCACGGCTGCACCTCCCGAGGATCCGAAGCCCGCAGCGCCTGCGGCAGAAGGCTCGGTTCTGCGGCGCCCCAAGCACGGCGCCTTCCTGGCTCGCGCCGTGGGCGTGGGGCGCCAGAGGGCGCCGCGCACGCGCCTCGGCTGCCGGCAAGATTTGTATCCACGTCCACTGCATCCTGGAGTTTAGGCCTTCCTTCGCCAGCAACCCGAGGCGCGGTGGGTAGGAACAAACATCTGGCCCCTCGAGGCCAGGTGTTTGTCCACATCCACTGCGCCTCGGCCTTTTGGCATCCCTTCCCAGAAAGTCCAAGACGCAGCGCATCAGCATCTTGTAACCGACCCCTATCCCCATCCCTATCCAGACCCACGCCATCTCAGCACCCCAGCCGACGATGTACCCATCAGAACCCGAAGGACATGGCCTGTATCCCCATCTCGGGGGTGGGGGGGGGGGAATCGGCCAGTGGGGCCCAGCCCACGCCCATGGGTACAGGGGGGTCGGCTCAACGAAGCTCAGTGTCGGTGGATGCGGATCGCGCGACAAACGCGCGTCGCGCGGGCACAAGGTGTGAGGGGCCGGGGCCTGCCCAGCATGGTGCCAGGACTGGGAGACGGCAGCGAGCGCCGCCCCGAAAAGAAAACACGTCAGTGGACGTGGATCGAGGTCTTGCCCAATCTCCGGAGCAGGGACCGACCGTCCCGGCATTCCTATAGTCCTACCACGAAATATTCATAGAACCCCAACATGTTCTAATAATACTAACAAAGTTCTTAAAACATAAACCCGGTGTGATAAAACAAGACAGCCCCACCCAGAGCTGGTCTGAGAACATTTCGTGGGAACCACAACAGGTTCTCAGAACATTGTTTGGTAGGCCCATACGCACGCCAGGACGCTTCGCCACTGCGCTTGAGTCTCGGCGCCGCCGCCTGCGACGGCGGCCGCCTCTGGCGGCGCGGCGCTGCGGCCTCCGAGGGGCACCGCTCGAGCGGCCCCCTGGGCGGCGGGCCCGCGCCGCGTGGCGCCCGGGCGTCGCTCGCGGCCGCCCCTGCGGCTGCCGCCGGGGGGCGGGTCGAGCGGTGGGCCGCGCGGCTCCGTTCAGGGGCCACGTCGAGAATTATCGAGGATCAATGGACTTGTGGAAGTCGGTTGATGGAGAGGAAGCATGCTGGCAAATAATTCCCTGCTGTCTAGAGGATGTGTCAAACATGTGTTTAATAGGTAACACAGACATGTTTGAAGCATCTTGAGAACTGTCTTACACATGTTAAACATATTTTAAATTCAATGATCAGACTGTTAGAGTGTCCATTGTCATGGCATCCACAACCATGGACCCCCAATCCTAACAAAATAGTGAAGGCGTGGCCTCGCTCTGGTCCCCGCCGTTGTGCGTTGGGGATGAAAAGTCCTGGGCGGCTTGGTCTGGTACGTCTGCAGAAGCGGCCCCCCTTTCTATCCCCAGTGTTGGTCGCCCTCCTAGCTTATGTCCCATCCCCAAGGGTTTGGGGTTCTCTCATTGCTAAATAGAATGTGGCGTGAGACTCACTGGGGCAACATTGAGGACAGTTCAGGGGCACGGTCAAAGGGCAACGTGAAACGGCAGCGTCAAGGGCCGATCAGAGGAGGGGGGTGAAGTTTCGGGTACGGGGTTCGGGGTTGTCGGACGTGTTCGTCGCTTCTCGGCGGTTCTCCAGCTCGGGGCTGCTCTCCAGCAGCTGTGCCTCGCCGAGAGCGTCCCGGGGATGCCTGGATCGTCCCGAACGGCCGCCAGAGAGCCGAGCCACCAGGGAAGGCATCGAACCCCGATCGCTCATTCACCGCCGCTAGGGGCCCGGGCATGAGCTGATTTCGCCGGTTTCGCCGACGGCTGGTTTCGCCGGCGCTGGTTTCGCCGCTGGTTTCGCCGGCGGTTGGTTTCGCCAGCGCTGGTTTCGCCGGCGCTAATTGCGCCGATCGAGGCGAGCCCTAACCGGCGGGTCGGGTCGGGCGGGCGGACCCTAACGGGCAGATCGGATCGGGCCGGGTGGGCGGACCCTAGCGGTTAGGTCGGGTCGGGCGGGCGGCACATCGAAGTATGGGGCGCGCTCGACCGAGCACGCGCGAACTCTAACGGGCGGGTCGGGTCGGGCGGACGGACCCTAGGCGGGCGGGTCGGATCGGGTTGGGCGGGCGGACCCTAGCGGGCGGGTCGGGTCGGGCAGTTTTGCCGACGGCAGCTGGTTTCGCCGACGGCAGCTGATTTCGCCGACGGAGCTGGTTTCGCCGGGCGGCGAAACCAGCCGGGGGCGAAACCAGCGGACGCCGGGGCCCGATGGCCCACTCCCCACAGGAACGTTCCGATTCGCTAGTTACCGGGTGCCTGTCGCAGATTCGTCGGCGACACATCGCCGAGTCCATGTGGATGAGCACCCCCTGAGCTTTTCCCCCACAACGCTGCTCCTCACCCGTCCGGAGGCAACGCAAACCGGCGACGGTGCGCGTTGCGCAAAAATTTGCGCTTCGCTGCGCAGCGTCGCGCGCAGCTCCCGAAGGCCCCAGTTTTGCCAGGCGCCCGCGGCTGCGCGCTGGGCCTGTTGCCCGCACGTCACAAGCATGCACTGGCGACGGGTCCGGCTTCCGTGCGAACAATCAGCGCGCACTGTCGCCGAGTCGGGCGGCACTGGCTCCGCGCTTCGGCGACACCTTTTGGCCTAGCATCTGCCTGTGGGGGGACATGCCCGACCTAAGTCTACATCGATGCTGGGCTCAGGGTGATCCTGGCCAGGATCGGTGTAGGCGTATACAGCGCCGGTTTTAATATATGCTCGGCGTGCTGACCATGTATTAAAAATAAAGGGTTGGTTGATACATACAAGGATGAGTTTATGCATTAGTTTATTCATACATTAATCATGAATCAAATTTCCTATGTATTCAAAGTCCTATGTATTGAAACCTGCCCTGTAGGCGTATAGTTTGCGCCCCCTGGCCTCTAGCCCTGGTTCCCGAGGCCAGGCGTTTGCCGTCCCGGATCGTGTCTCGTTGACGGGCCCCAGGGCCCGAGAGCGGCCCCTCGGAGCGTCAAAGGCAGCGAGTCTGCTCTGCGCGTGACCTCTCTGTGTTCCACCCGCTGCTCTGCGCGCTGCCCTCTGCCCCCTGCGCTCTGCGGGATGCTGTGTTGCGCACTCGTGTTCTCTGCTGCCCTCACCCGTGCTAATCCTATGCATGCGTCTGCTCCCTTTGCGCACTGCACTTTCTGCTCCGAGAGCCCGGAAGCCCGACCGCCCAGTGTGACCGGGTGAAGCTTGCCGTCGAGGTCCAGAGTTTAAGGGGCCCCGGCCGCCCACCGAACTCGCTGGGACAATTTGATGAGATTTGCGCTGCAACGCCGGTGATCCAGAGGCCTCTCGCGGCCTCCGCCTCCTCCTCCGCCTCCTCCGCCTTCTCCTCCTCCTCCTCTTCCTCCTCCTCCTTTGGGGGGCTCCTTTGGCCGTCAGAGGGTGCTGTTGGGCAATCTGACGCCTTAGGGGCCCGCCTTGGGGGCCTGTTGGGGCGTGCTTGGGGCCTTGAAAGGTCGTCTGAGGCTCTCTTGGGCCAGTTCGGGGCTTCCACTGTCCGTCTTGGCGCTGTTTTAGGGTCCTCTTGGGCCGTTTTTATTGCTTCTTGGGCCGGCTTGAGACCCTCTTGGGAGACTCTTGCGCCGTCACGTGGCCATCTTGAAGGCCGTATTGGGCCGTCTTGACGGACGAACAAGACGACAACGCGAAAACCGTAGAACTACATAACAAAAATCTTGAATGGTGTTCTGTCCCTCCTGGATTTCCTCTTGGAACCCTCTTGAGCCGTATTGGGGTCATCTTGGACCGTCTTCTGGCCATCTTGGGTCGTCTGAGGGCCATCTTGGGCCGTTGGAGGGGCATCTTGAAGTCTTGAGACATCTATGCGCCCAGGACCCCTCGGCAGGGGGCGGCGATGCATGCCTTTGAGTGTGGCCCCGAGAGGGGGACCCTCAGAAGATTGCAGAAACCTGCCAGGAAGTCCTTGTCATTCTACCACGCCACAGCCTTTCAGGGAGCACTGTGGCGGATCTGACGGTCTGGAGAGACTGAATTCTGAAACTCGGCGGGGTTTGTGCACCGTGCTGTCGGAGCGTGGGCCGCTGTCTGCGCTTGCGCGCTGGACTTCCCCACAACCTTCGGCCACCCTGCCATGCTTGGCAGGCCGTGACGGTCTGGACGGCCATTGCTCTCGGGCAGCATCAGGAGCTGCTCACTGAAGACGGTTCCCCTCGGCCCGCCGTGGTGGGGGCGAGGTTTTTCCCCGAGGATTCCTCAGGATTCCTCGGGAGCCCTCAGGGCTCATCGGGGCTTCCTTGGGATCCCCGAGATCGCCGGGCACTCGCGAGGATGAGCTTCCGCCCCCGCGGCAGGCACGTCGCAGCTCGCGCGGCTCAACGGCATCAAGAGAATACTGGAGCAGGCCGGCTGGGCCCACCCGTGGAGGGGGAGGGGGAGAGAGGAGAAGGGATGGGGGGGGCGAGAGATGGGGGGGGAGGAGAGAAGGAGGAGGAGGAGGAGGAGGAGGAGGAGGAGGAGGAGGAGGAGGAGGAGGAGGAGGAGGAGGAGGAGGAGGAGGAGGAAGGAGGAGGAGGGGAAGGAAGGAAGGAAGGAAGGAGGAGGAAAGGAAGGAGGAGGAGGACCTGCGGGGGAGCCTCCCCCGCGGAGTGGCCCGGGCGTCGGAGAGGGCTCTGGCGCGCCTGGGCCCGCGGGGGGCCTCCCGGGGTCTCCACGGTGGGGTCTGGGCAGGCGGGGTCGGAGGGTCGCGCCGCAGCCTCGGTGCGGAGGCGGCCTTCTGGCGGTTCGGGCGTGGCTGGCCCTCCGGGGGCCTCCGGGGGCTCCAGGCCCCCCAGGTGAGCGGCAGAAGCCGGAAGACGGGGTGCACGGCGCGGACAGTTGCGCGTGGGTTCCCGCGCAAGGATGCGCGTGAGCGCCCTCTTTTCCGCGCGTCGTGCCACGCTGGCGGCCCGCGCGCCGTCTTTACTTCTCGCGTAAGACCCGCTTCTGCTCGTCGCTCGAATGGGGTCCGAGTAGATAGGGGTCGGAGGATCACGCCGCATCCTTGATGAGGAGACAGATTTCCTCCACGCCGACGGCGCCGATACATCGGCGATGCTGGGCGATCCTCCGACCCCATCCGCTTGCGCCCGATTGGTGAGGCCTGCAGGCGCACCCTCGTCGCCACGGCTGGATCCGCCCCCGATCACTCGCGAACAAATCTCCAGGAGCATCGGAAAATGACCCAGCCTGTCACCCACAGTGGGAGGCAAGAGGTCTCGCGGGCCCGGCCCACGAGACGGCAGGTCCGAGAGCTTGGATGTCTGGACACACTCTACCAGGAAGACGAGGACAGATGCGAGTGTACCCTCCTCGTCCTCCTCCTCCTCCTCCTCTTCCTCCTCCTCCTCCTCCTCTTCCTCCTCCTCCCCCTCGTTCGTCCTCGCCGCTGCTGCCAGTCCTGCTGGTCGTGCCGCTCCCACATCCGCCATCCATCCTGTCTCTCTCTCTCTCTCTCTCCTGCGTTCCTGCTCCCTCCCTCCCCTCTCCTCTCCTCGATCTCCTCCCGCGCGAGTGCTGGCTGCGCGCGGCGTGCCTTCACTCGGCCCGGCGTCCCCGGGTGCTCTTGCTCTCGTGCCTCGGCCGCCGAGGCCCGCCCTCGAGCGGGGAGGAGTGGGCAGAAGACGTGCGTCGCTCGGCGTCCCTCGGGTCGAGGAGAGGCCCCCCAGGAGGCAGGCCCCCAAGAGGCCCCCAAGAGGCCCCAAGAGGCCCCCAAGAGGCCCCCAAGAAGCCCCAAAGAGGCCCCCCAAGACGGCACCAAAAAGGCTTCAAAACTCTTTCTGACGACGACTTCGAGAAGCAGTCCAGGATGCTCCGAGGAGGCCCCAAGAAGCTCGCTAGAACTTGAGCGCGCGCGAAGCGCGCGCGATGGTTCTAGTGGGCGTCTGGCAGCGAACGGGAAGCTGGCCACGAGCGGAGTTGATCGGGAGAGATGTTCGGTGTGGCAGTGTCCATGGAGTTTCGGAGTGTGGGAGCGCCCGAGCCGGGCCGCGGCCAGCATTGGCACGACGGCTTGAGAGGACACCACACAGCATTGCCTTGCCGCATCCCTGCGTAAAGTTAAATCGGGCGTGTCCCCCTGCAGGAGGAATGCCCAAAAATAGTCAAACATAGTCCTGGGGATGTATTTTTTATTATTTTAGAATATTTCAGACGTATGTTTTGACTGTTTCTTGGTTTCGTCCAAACCCGCCTCGAGGGGGACAGTCCCGACCTGAGTGGAACGTCAGAGCCGCCTGGATGTTCACTGCCGCCTACCAGCAGTCGCGCGTCGCTCTTCTGTCAGTTTCCCAGGCCACCCACGAGGGCGCCGGAGTGGCCGCGCTCCGCGCCTCGCGATCTGGCCAGAGATCGGAGGAGCAATCGGCAAGAGGTAATGATAATGACGCGGTCCAGGATGTGATCGTCTTCTTATTCATTGTTTTGCCGATTGGCGCGGGCCCTCTCACCCCTTCTCTCAAGCAGTGGCGAAGCCTCCTGGCTCGCCTACAGGCCTACCAAAGAATGTTCAAATAACATTTTGTGGTCTGCACGAAATGTTCTTAGAACATTTCTGGCTGGGACTGTCTCGTTGTAACACATCGGGGCTATGTTCTAAGAACACCTTTTTCGTTCTCAACACATTTTTATGTTCTAAGAGCATTTCGTGGTCGACCTATAGGAATGCGAGGACGGTCGGTCCCTGCTCAACCCTCCCCCTCTCCCCATGGAATGGATCTTGGCTCTTCTTGGCGCCTGTTTCAAGCATATGGAGTCTCCCCCAGAGAACGCACGGTTCCAACACAGTCGCACTGAGCAGAGGTCCAGAGCCAGACCCCCCCCTCGCCCCCTTTCCGCCCAATGTCGAAACGCCGAATAAGAGAGCGCTCACCTAGGGGGGCAGATCGGCCAGTAGGACCCAAGCCACGCCGGTGGGGATAGGGGCCGGTTCAACGATATGCTCATGAATCGGATCGACCCGTGGTGGCCTTGCGGGCTTGAAGGCTGGCGAGCACGCCTGTGTGAATGGTACGCTCCAGGATGTTCAAGATCTCCCAAGAGTTCCTGACACTCCCCACGGGCTGCAGCAACGGGGGCCGTCAGTTGCTCCGAGAGGTCCTGGAGCGTATCTCGAGCCAAGCGTCAAGTCGGGCGCTTCCCTCTACAGGAGGAATATTCAAAAATAGTCGAAAAATCGTATGGACACGATTTTTGTCCACTATGTTTTACTGTTTCCAAGTATGTTGGGGGTATTTTTAATTTTTCGTCCAAAATCTGCGTGTAGGAGGACATGCCCGACCTAAGTCAATCGCACCATACACCACCGGCATCCCAGAATGGCTGCCGATGTGCTCCTCCTGGGGGCCTGGGGGCGGCGGCGCGGTGGCGCGATGGGGCCGGCATGCTCCGCGCGGCGCGCGAAGCCCGGGCGTTCTGCCCGTCCCCGCCCTCGCCCGCGGACCGCAGCGCAGCGGCCCCTTCGACATGTGCGCCCGCTTCGCGGTGCTCGAGTTCCAGGCCATCCGGCCCCTCTCCGCGGCCCCCTCCTCCTCCTCCTCCTCCTGCTCCTCCTCCTCCTCCTCCTCCTGCTCCTCCTCCTCCTCCTCCTCCTCCTTCTCCTCCTCCTCCTCCTCCTCCTCCTCCTCCTTCTCCTCCTCCTCCTGGTGGTGCGCGCGACGGGGGATCGGGGAGCGAAGGCTGCGGCGGCGAGCGATCGGGGGGGGGAGGCGTCGATGCCCAGTCGCACATTGATCGCGGAGAGGGGCCCGGTAGCCCCACCCGCCCGGGAAGGTGCGGATTTGCCATCGGGGGCCTGTCGCCGATCGATCGGCGGAGCATCGCCGATCTATATATATATATATACACATATATTGGGGAAGGCTTATAAACAAAAAAAATCTCACTCCCCCCCCAGGCTCGCCGCCGAGAAAGGCACGGGGGGTTCTGGAAGACAGGGTGCCTCCTCAAGAGGGAGGGGATCGTCAAGAGGCAGCCGGGCGTTCCAGAGGACCCCGTGCCTTCCCTGAAGCCCGCCCCCCACCCGCCGGCGCGCCGCCAGGCTCAGCTGCGACGCGCCAGCGAGAAGAGAGAGTTTTGCAGAGGGGTGGGCGGGGCGAAGGACGGAGAATCTGCGGGGGACTGGGGACGATGAGACTCCTCCCTCTCCTCTCCTCCCCCTTCCTCGTCGCCCTGCCCCGTCCTCTCGTTCCTCATCATTCCCCTCGTCCTCCTCTCTGTCATCCGCTTCCTTTGGCACCGTCCTGTCGCCTCGAGGCATCTTGTTCGTTGCCAAAGTGCCGGCATGGCCTTCCGAGGCCCTTGCATCATACTCGTGCGTCCGTGCTATCAGCTTCGACCTGTTCAGCCGAGGCTATGAGATGAGGACTGCTGTGGGTTCGGCAGGGGCTCGCAGCTCCTGAGGTCATGTCGCCGTTGTTCCTCTGGCCTTCAGTCGGGCGTGTCCCTCTACAGGAAGAACATTCAAAAACAGTGATAAAACATAATTTCAGGACGATGTGTTGGGTACTTGTTTGCAAGATGTTTGAATTTTGGTTTTGCGAAGAGTCGTCCAGAATCCACCTGTTAGGGGGATATGCTCGACCCAACTCTGGCCCTCCTCGTGCACCCAGGCGCCCCTGGGACCGAAAAGGGGTCTCCCTCCCTCCTCAGCGTTCCTGGCCTCAGCAGCTCGTCGGTACCCAGGAGGGGGAAAAACACAGACACCATGAATCGTCGATTCCCTAGAAAATATGGGAAAAAATATGGGAAGTGGGGGGGCTGAAACCCAGAAAACATGAGCACACACGGGGAATCTTGTGATTTGCATGCATTTATTTGCGTGTCCTGGGGCCCCTCCCTCCGATCCGACCCGGCCTCGCGATCCGAGGCTGGCCGCTCGGCCTCGGCGGCAGAGGCCCGTGCTGCGGGCCCGCAGACCTCCGCGCGCCCGCCCCCGCGGAGCCGCGCGGCGGAGCCGCGCGGCTCGGCTCTGCGCCTCGGGCCGGCGAGGTGCCGAGGGCGGCCCCGGCACGGGGGGCTCTAGACGAACGTCGGGCACTGGGCATTTGCATTGCTAGTGGCGTGCTGTCTGTCAATCCCTGGACTTTTGTGACGAACAAGCAACACGCACCCATTGCCCCTAGGGGGGTCGTTGGGAGGAGGACTGGCTATGGGTATGGGTGCGGGTTGTCGGACCCTGGGGAACGCTCGCGTTCGAGCGGGTTGTCGGACCCTGGGGAACGCTCCCGTTCACCACCCACCAAACCACCCCAACCCAACCCGAAGGCCTCAATTTGCCCTCCATTTCCAGTTGGGGGGGGTCGGGGCATCGACAAAACACACATGGAACCCGTACCCCCCCCCCCAACCCGAAATTGGGGTCTTCGGGTTGGGTTGGGGTGGTCTGGTAGGTAGTCACTAGTGGCGTGCTGTTTTTCAATCCCTGGACTTTTTGAGGGCCAGGGACGACGTCGGGGTGGTGTGGTGTGTAGTTGTTCCCCCGTTTTCTGGGGGAAATGGCGAACATGTATACATCAGCATCCCGTATACACCAGGATCTGCTTTCCTGTGCGAGTTTCAGTGCAGGGCTGCTCGGTTCCCTAGAGAGGGCAGGACAGGGAAAGAGGGGGGGGGGGGGATACGAAAGCTGCTGCATGCAGCCGGTTTTGGCCCCGCCGCTGGGCCCGCTCCTGGATGCCATGGGTTCCTCGCGCCAGGAGGCGCCAGGAAAAGCAGCCGATTCTCCACCCTACCCGTTGCTATCCTACCCTGTCGTCCCCCCCGAGACACGCACTGCAGGGCAGGCCGTCGCGAGGCCAGCCAGCCCCCAGTCAACATCGTTTAGACGACCCCTATCCCCATCCCCATCCCCAGCCAGACATTCACCATCTCACCCCCCAGTTGAGCATATGCCCCTCGAAACTCGAAGCAAACGGCCTATGTCCCCATCTAGGATGGTAAATCGGCCAGTGGGGCCCAGGCCACGTCGTTGGGGATAAGGGTCGGATAAACGATGTTCAGTCAGAGCTGGGCGTCGCAATTCTTCCACACCAGAAGTTTTCGCCCTGTATCGGGCCCCCGGATCCTCACATACTGATCCTGTTGGAAAAGTGCTGCAGAAAGCGGGGGACCAGATCTCTGGTCTGTATTTTTCGCGATGTTGTATTTTGTCGCTGCCTCGGATCTCAGGGAGAACCGGGATACATCGTTCCGCAGCGCGTTCCAGAATGCTCTCAGAGCGTCCCAGCGCGCTCCGGAACGGCCGCGGCGCCCGAAACATCCTGGAGCCGCTTGGGTCGCAGAGGTCCCCAAGTTGTCAAATTTCGATGTTGTCATGGTTCCGGGTTCCTCTCAAGGAAGGAAGGAAAGGTTCTCCTCCTCCTTCCCCTTCCCCTTGTCAAGATGACGTGCGCACCTCCTCCTTCCTCCAGAGGGCCTGAAGAGCAAGAGGAGAAGGACGAAAGGGAAACAGTGGACGGGGACGGAGAGGCGGAAGGGGAACGAAGACGGACATAGGTAGAAGGAAGAGGAGGTGGAGGAGGAGAGAGAGAGAGAGAGACAAGCAACAACCCCAACAACAACAACACCAACAATAACAACAACCACAACAACAGCAATCAGTTCAAGACGGTTCGCTCTTATCTGCTCGCGTGTCATTCAATGTGCATATCCCATACCCTGGATACCCGCCTTCTTCGTCTTCGATCGTACCCCCTTTTGGGGGGTAGATTCATTCCCTGCCACGTGTGGTTGGTGAAGCCCTTGAAAACGAAGGGTAACAGATAACGGGGAAGAATGAGGACGAAGGGATCGGAGGAAGGGAGGGGAGGTGCAAGAAGGAGGGAGGACGATGATTCCTGAATATGTAGCGGGAGTGCAATTCCTCAGTGTCGCGGAGCGGCATCTGAATAACTTGTAAGAAGGTATCAGGCGGGAGCCGCGATTCGGTGGTAAGTTGCAAGGAAGTCCAAGTGAGAGCGCGATTCTTCAATCAATTGTAAGGAAGTATCAAGCGGGAGCCGCGATCCGGTGGTAAATTGCAAGGAAGTCCCAAGCGAGAGCGCGATTCTTCAATACATTGTGAGGAAGTATCAGGCGGGAGCTATTGTTGTTGTTGTTGTTGTTGTTGTTGTTGTTGAACATTATTAATTCTAAAGAATAATTATTGTTGGGGCCCCTGGTGCACGACCCCCCCGCCGCGCCTAGGCCGCAGCCTCATTTTCATCATTTTCGTGAGGAAGTCTCAGGCAAAACGGGGGAGTCCGGATCCGGTTGTGTTGTTACGATCGGTTTTCCCTTGCAAAAAATAAGCTAAAGTGGACATTTCTTGTTCTAACATAACCAAACTTCAAGAATCCCTTGCAAAAAATAAGGTAAAGTGGACATTCGCGCGCGCAAGACGAAATCCTTCCAAAACCTTAGTTTTCGTAGCGATTTTAACATAAAAACATCAAAAAACCAATGGTTTTTCAAAAAAAAATGTCAAAATTTCATCCCGCGCGCTCTTGCGGATTCGTAGGAAACCCAACACTTTTTAAACATTTCTGTCAAACGGGCTTTTGCGAGCAACTTTTTCGAACTTCTGCAACAACGGTTGCGCACCTGCCAGGGCCATCATCCCTGTCAAATAATACCATGCGGGACACATTCGTTTTTTCTTCGCGCGCGCACGCCGTCGTCGTCGGCCGCGGGGCCCTGAATAGTAGCCACGGTCGTCCGCATGCCACGAAGTGAAGTGTCCGAACGTCATAGGGCGGGAAGCTGGGTGTGGGTGGTGGCGAAGAGTCGTTTGGAAATTTGGTAGAGCTTGAACCGGCCCCCCCACAAAGTGGGGGTATTGCCCGCCTCCTATGAAAACCCTGGCACTGGTGAGAACGGAGTGTCCCCACGTGCTAGTAATTGTTGTTGTTGTTGTTGTTGTTGTTGTTGTTGTTGTTGTTGTTGTTGTTGTTGTTGTTGTTGTTGTTGTTGTTAAACATCAAAAAACCAATGGTTTTTCAACAAAAAAATGTCAAAATCTCATCCCGCGCGCTCTTGCGGATTCGTAGGAAACCCAACACTTTTTAAACATTTCTGTCAAACGGGCTTTTGCGAGCAACTTTTTCGAACTTCTGCGACAACGGTTGCGCACCTGCCAGGGCCATCATCCCTGTCAAATAATACCATGCGGGACACATTCGTTTTTTCTTCGCGCGCGCACGCCGTCGTCGTCGGCCGCGGGGCCCTGAATAGTAGCCACGGTCGTCCGCATGCCACGAAGTGAAGTGTCCGAACGTCATAGGGCGGGAAGCTGGGTGTGGGTGGTGGCGAAGAGTCGTTTGGAAATTTGGTAGAGCTTGAACCGGCCCCCCCACAAAGTGGGGGTATTGCCCGCCTCCTATGAAAACCCTGGCACTGGTGAGAACGGAGTGTCCCCAGTCTTAAATGATTGTTGTTGTTGTTGTTGGTGGTGGTGGTGGTGGTGGTGGTGGTGGTGGTGGTGTTGTTGGTGTTGTTGTTGTTGTTGTTGTAAACCGGGG